GCCTTCTGCCCCATACATTTAAAGGATAATTTCCTCCGCTGTAGCCTCTACCAATCCGTTGACGGCTCAGTTGTTTTATATCGCCACTATTTGGTCGCCAGAGCCTCGTACGTTATCTAGCAGGGAGCACTACTATTCTTATTGACAATTGGGCCGGGCATGATGTTAGTTCCGTTCTCCCCTTACTCCCCTAAGATGCCTTGCTTATAGGTATATCATAGATGGTGTAGGTTACATGATAGGTGTAATACACGTCACAGATTGTATATTATAAACATTGTGTTTAATCTCTAACTTCCATTGTATTGCAAAACGTTGGAATCAAGGAAGCTAGTCTAAGTTCTAAGTTCTCAAGTCGTGAAGCTCTATCGTGATTTATTCAACAGAAACTTGGTGTTTAGGCTTGGCTTGTAAAGTTTCCTTTCTTGCGCCAACTCCCTCGGGTTTTGCATCACATCTTATGTACTATAAAACTTTACTATATTTAGAATTATCTATTTCACGATTACTGAAACATTTTTTATTTTTTTAAGGTATCGTAAAAATTCGAGAAATTACCGAAATCGTTACATCTGAATACAAGTATAATTGAGAAAAACAAAAAATCAATCAAAAATAAATATTTTTATCAAAACTATAGCTTACTTTGGTTATTAAATTTGATTCATAAATTACGCAAATATTAAACCTTTTACTTAATTTAATAAATTGCAGTTAAGTAGCGCGTAAGTGAAGGTTTTTATAACGACGTTACAAAAACTAACACTTACCACAAATATTAACTTTTAACATCTTAAAAATCTCTTCTAAGAGAAATTTATACAAAATGCCAGCCTCTTTTACCAGCTGTATATATGATCATGTAATTAACTTTAAAAACAAAGCAACTTTTCGTGTAAATATAAAATGCTACTGTTATCGTACTAGTAATTTGCAGCATTATGTTCAGTGTTAACGATTCTTTTCGCACTACCTTGAGTACTTATTATTAAAGAGGAATCGTTTCAGTGAATTGTTGAAATACTCTATATCGATACGATGAACTAACGAAATATTGTAGCGAATAGCTCCATCGCTTAAATAATGCTCTTATAAACTGCTAACACTTATACACAGCAATTAAAAAGTAATATTTCTGAGTTTGGCGAGTCATGAGCTCATAATAAGCAGTGAACCACGCCTGCATACGAAATGAACACAAAATTTCACATGAATTTTCTAGAAAGCAACAATTTGCATAACGCATACATTTATCCCGACTTCACTTGGATTAAAATAAATTCGGCGAACAATTATTTCAGCTATGTTTCGGGTAGGGAATTTACATTTGACTTTTTAATGAGTAGATTGACGAGAAATTACATTGAATAATTTAGGACTACTTTTTAAACATTTAGATTCAATAATAATTTAACTTTTGTATAAGTAACTATATTGATATCTATTTTTTTACAGGATACGGGAAGCCCAAAATAAGTCATCAAAGCCCATGGACAGCCAATTTAGTGGATGCGATGCCGGCCTTTGATGGAGGAGTTTGCTCTTTTTTTTAAACAAGTGAAGGTCATATCTCCCAAGGATTCCACAGTTCGCTAGCTCGCATACAAAATGTCTTATGAAGCCGTCCGTGGAAGATTTGCCATGAAGGTGATGTGGTTGAATTATATTAAAACTTCATTAATTTCTTTTAGTTTTTATCCATTTTTAATTTTATTATCATTACTATGTAGATTAAGAATATATTCGAATATAATTTATATTTTTTACCGTGAATTTAATTGGTTAACATCTGATGTAGAAAATCATCAATCGTCCCGTATAGAGCTTGGTACAAGGGTTTGGAACTAAATCAATCCAAGGGTGTGAGAAACCACGTCGAAGACACCTCAGGTACGACAGGATTTTGTGTATTTTATTTCAGATATTTAGAAATTATTGTGTAACGATATTAAATTATTAACGTTAATTTCATAATTTAAATTCAGTCGTTTAATGGTTTTCATAAATAATAATAGTTATGACTGATACAGGAAAACAGTTAAATGTGAAAAATATTTTCAATGAATAGTGGTATTCTAATTATATATAAAATATTTAAGCTATGTCAAGAGCAAAACTATAATTAAAACAGACTACACAGATTCGTTTAGAGATTTAAACTACATTTAATTAGTGTACTTGGATATATTTCTCATTAAACAAATGTATATCTGTGCGAACTTTGACAATTCCAACTGTTACGTCGCAAAAAGAAATTTCTCCTAAACCGAGAAATCCGTCACGAGATAAGACCGTGGACAATGACGAATAGAAGATGTTGAGCTTAACGCTCCTGACAGCTGACGTTTACGTATGTGATAAGATGAGAAATTTGTCGACTATAGCGCGAAGAAAGTGCTGGAAAATCAAAATCTTTTTTATTTACTCTTAAAAGCAAAAATTATATAAAGATTTGGTTGTAATGTTATATAAATACTAGCTCCAATAAAATAGCTATGTTTTTCACTTATACGAATTAGCAAAACGTTGAATCGGCTTCAAGAGGACTTCCCTAGGAGATACAACATAATAACTCTTTAAGAAAAGAGCCTTTTAGGGCCAGTGCCTTTTTGAATTTTTTAAGGGCAGTGTACCCACAAAAGCCGGCAACGCAGCTTTGAGTCTTCGGATATAGTGTGTGTCCATAGGTTCCGATATGATTTTCTGGTAGTTGACTGTGTGTAAAGATAAAAAAAATATTATAAAAATCTACTACTACTATTATTGCTATATATCAGGATAATAGAAGTATCACATTCTAAAAATTACAATGAATATAAACGAAAATTTCGGGATAAAAATTTCAGATTTTTTATAATGCTTGTCACATTTTCAAATACACTTATTAAATCACCAACTTAGAACATCTAATAAAACTTAAATTAACACCAAATCCTTACAATAAAGCAAGTATCGAATAATCTTGGGGTTTCGTATGCCCGTTTTGCCAACCTTTGAGGGATTGGTACGCTTTCTTAAAAGCTTCTCTACTGGCAGCTGGTTCTTCAAAGCGGTGATACAAGGCAGAAATATAATATTGAACTAATAAGTCTCATTTATTCGGGTTCAGAAAATCACAATCCAATTAATATCTCTTTATCTGTAAATTATACGGCTACAAAATGTAAATGACCAAATATATTTCAACTACAGTAAAAAAATAACAACGAAAAACTCATACAAAACGCAAAAAGCCTAAAAAACAAGTGCCTTTGTACAAATACCTACTCGCGGATTCTAGGTCATACTCTGTTTGCTTTTCATTTTCTGCACCAGATGAATATTTTACGCTGGCGAAACACAAGCATAGGTACCAGTGAAGCTTATAATAAATACTGCATTTTATCAACTTATGCAATAATTATAATTATTTATTTATGCAGTATTTTTTTTCTTTGATATTAATTCAATCCACCACTCTACCAGACTCAGACTAACAGGCCTATATAGTCTGTCTCACTCTAACGCGTACCGGCTACACCGATCACGCCAGACCGATGTGAGACGCAGTATGCGTTCTGTCCTGCTCTAACGCGTAATGGCCGCACCTATATTACGTCATCGTGTGTTAGGTTTTTATTTTCGTTACGGAATTTCTTGATTCGGTCGCCGCGCTGAAAGCCTACAATAAAATCTATGCAATAGCTTAAAAATTAAAAGTAATTTCTAATTCAAGCCTCTTCATCAGGAACACCTTCAATTTACCTTATATTTTTTAGTATGTTGGTCTTATTAGAGTATGGGACTGAGCGCTTATTTTAGCTGTAAGTATAAGCGTCCGTGCTGTAATGTATATTGTTTTCCCTATAATTATCATTTACGGTGTTCAATCCTGACGATATGTCCCGTCAATTAACGACTTAGACTTAACGTAGACTTAGAAATAACGGTTATTCTACTAGCCCCGTCATCTCAAAGATATATGAGTATTTTAGGATGAAAAGCCTATGAATTGGATATCAGTTTGAACTACACAGTTTCCTGTATCCTGATCACGTTGGTTTAACGTTATTTTAGTAAGAAGGGTAATTATAAAACTCTACTGACTAATTATGTTTGAAATTATAAAATTTCAACGATTTAAAGTTTTGTGCAAGTTAAATGTGTTGTGTTTGCGTATATAAAACACAGTTTTGCTCTTTGCATAATATGAACATTATAAACACTAAGGATTGTATTTCTCTGGATTTCCTGTTCGTTCAGATGTAAAGGACTTTAGCGATAGAAGGAATAACTTCTAGTTAAACAGTGGTAACCCAGAACAAGATGTTCTTGAATTATTTGGCCAAACCTCGAGGGAAAAATTAAGGGCCAGGTATCGTTGTATCCACAGAGTAGAGGAGACCAGACGCTATAGAAAGCCAATAACTGGCGGGAAGTAGGACAGGACGGAGAGCGGTGGAAGGTTCTCTTTTCTGACACTCATAGGGTTGCAGAACTAGAGGTATGAGCGTCAGTGTGAGGGCTGAAGTGTTTTTACTGGGTAGGGCCTAGCAGAGGTTTTAGCTCCATAAACCCTGTATCTGTTCTTCACTCTGTTCTTTTAAATTCCATGTCCCTTACTAACACTTTCTGCTTCGGCTAAGGGAATCATTGAAAGGCATATGTTATAATGAAAAATCAAAAAGTCTGATAAATGTGTATAAATAATTTTAAAAAATCAAGAAAACTTCATGTCCGATGTTTGACTCGTCTTGTGTTAATGTGTTACACATTGTTTTATATTTGTTTAAATTCAAAGATATATTATGTATATGATATAGAATTGTTACTGTAAAAGCTCGAACTGGAGTAAATCCTAAGATATTCCAGTAAAACCTAAGATCTACCAATTCCTAATGGTAAATGTCCCAAAAGGTTTGCGATTCGAACTCTTACCACCATTCCGTTGGTAAATCTTAGGACTTACATTAATGGCACGGTAAATGTTGAAAAACAAAACATGTCATAACCTAACCAAAATGGGAATACTAAAACAGCTTTACATCAAGAATCAGTTCGCCGCATGCTCTGAAGATTTTATAAAGATGGAAGAAGTTGTTACGGATATAGAAGTGAGTCTTCGAGAAGTTGTCGGAAAATTGTTGGTAACTGGAGGACAAGGATTCAAAAAATGTAATTGTCAAAAAAAATTTCGACAAAAAAATGCACCTGCCGATCATCAGGATTACTTTGTAATTCTAAATGCCAGAATAGCCATCCGTGTTGTAACAAGTGAAATGTTTTTTTTAGGTACCTTACCTATTAATCAATTACATTTGATTGTCTTTTTTTACTTCTAAACCAAATAATAAGAAAAATAATTATTAAGTTAGACTAGCTTATGTAAGCATTATGTTTGTATTTCGTAGTTAAATTACAAAATAATAGAGAACTTTCAGTTAGAATCAAGTCAATTCAGTTAGATAGATATGATAGAGATTGAGATATTCAGAGATATACGTTATGTGTTTTTTCAAAATGATTTAAATAAGTAGGTATTAGTTTCTACTTATTACTATCATATGATACCTTTATAATACTATGTACCTGTTTTGTCTAACAGTTCATTAAAGTAAATAATTAAGAATTACTCGTTGTTTTATTCCTAAAACCAACATCTACCAGCTGACAGTGGTAAAACCTAGCATATACTGAATTCGAATGGTAAAAGCTCGAAAAACTCGTCGTATTTTCAGAAATACTTACATTTACCAACTCATGTCGGTAAATCCTAAGACTTACACTTAAATCTTAAGATTAACCGTAGTTCGAGATTTTACAGTAACAGAATAATAATTAATTATTCTTAATTGTCCTTGTCGTTGAAAAAAAATTTAAAGTTATGAAAATATTACACTAAGTTTATATTGTTTGATTCAACCAAATTACATATAACATACGCTTTCAGGGTGATATTGGAAAACTTCAACGCCAAAAAGAAAATCGTGAAAAACTGAATTTCTCGCCAGACACTGAGCAAGTTTTGTTAAAAAACGATTCTGCTAAAAAAGCTAACAAGTTGGACAAAGAAAACTGCTTTTAATTCAGTTCGGTTACTAACTCAGTATTTTAAGAATAGTTTTTATTTCTTCACCCTTTGATTTTCTTCGAAATAAGAATGGATATAAAAAGCTTTATACGATAATGGGTTTTTAATCACAATTTTTATCATCTTAAAGGACATTTCGTATGGTAAGGGTTGGTAGATGAGAGATAAATTTTAAATTTTCTGTTACTTATTAAAAAGCTTGTGGTTTATATTTTTATACATAATAAATTTTACTTATCAATTCTCGAATAATAAACTATTTTAGAATACTTAGCTTTTTTAACCCAGATAGCTTTTTATACGAAGGAAAACAATTTATATTCAAACGATCGAACACGCAATTGTGTGTGAAGCGCTAGAAAGGCGATTTATTCTAAGATATATTTCCAGGTGAACACCCGCACCCAAAAGCTGTATTTTAATATTGATAAGAACAGGCTTAAATCATGAAACAAATTCGAAATTTAAACTCAAAACGACAAGCAAAAACACCTGTTTCCATCGTATTTCCGGTTTCTATTACAGTCCGTTAATTTCCAAAATTTTACGACTGCGTAATTTCATTTTATTAAAAGCGAATCGTGTGGACCTTTCGAATTGACGGAAATAAAATTTTAATTCAAGCAGGCCGGGAGCGGGGATTTTTTACGACTAGCCATTTAATTTGCGAGGACAATAGGTTTTATGTACAAAAAACTCCCAACTTCGTTAACATAAACAAGAGTCATTTCTTATCAGTGAGCTATAGGCCCTTGAAGCTTAGGGGCTGGTCTTTTTGCATATTCTTTTTATAAAAACCGTACAAAATATATCTCAATCAAGATCAAAATAGGTCCTTTACTAAAATAAAATTACTAAATACGATACGTAGTGTTGGCCTAGCGGCTTCAGCGTGCGACTCTCATCCCTGAGGTCGTAGGTTCGATTCCCAGCTGTGCACCAATCGACTTTCTATCTTGAAACATCGTGAGGAACCGGCTTGCGTTAGACCCAAAATGTCGACGGCGTACGGCACAGGAGGCTGATCACCTACTTGCCTATGAGACAAATGATCATGAATCAGATTCAGACATCTGAGGTCCTGACCTAAAAAGGTTGTAGCGCCACTGATTTCAATACGATACGGTCCTAGAACTTTACACGTTTCAACGCGAATTTAGTACGGAAACTTTGATTTGTGTCTTAGTCCGTAAATATAACTAAGATTTAAAACCATGTTACACTGAACATTTCTTATAAAATGTTCTTTTGGAAGCATACGTAGTATACAAGCAAAGTTAATCCACTGTGATGGAATCCCAAATTAAAATGGGGTGCCAAATAACGTGAACCCTTTCGCATAAAGTCTCCTAGCCGCATATTTGGGATTGGGCGACATTTCTGCTGCTAATCACTTTTCTTAACCTGCTTTTTAACAAGCGTCGGGTTTTCGGTCAAAGATGCCAGTTTTCTCCTTTACAGATAAATATTTAAAATTGCACTGTAATGCTTTATTATTTAATTTGCAATATTTTAATCTACCTTAGACATTTATATTAACTATGCAAGATATTCAGAAAGTCAAAGTAAGAAAAATAAGACAAACCGGATGCTCCGTTGAAAAAATATATGGCTTTGAAGCATTTTTAATGAATCTCGCTTGTTTTTCTTATCTGTCCCACTTACATTTTATTATAGCTATTAAATGTTTAAGAATGCGTCTGTGGATTATTACTGGAAGATTATTTAAATGCAATAAAGCAATTTTGTACTGTACAATGAACTTAGCAAACTTTCGTGATTTATGTAAATGGTACTACTAAAACTTTCTCAAAAATTTCGACTGAAGCATAAATAATGAAGTAATAAAAAGATGTTTGTAACTAATCTGCATTCACATAAAGTTTTAGTATCTGAATATTTGTAAAGAATTTATAAGTTTGTTTCTTAGCTTAGCTTTTCAGAAAATTAAAGATTTATATCATGTATTCATAAAAATATATTTATCGCGCGCACCTCCACTGGAACCAGCTGCCCGTTGAAGTACGAGTATGTCGGAACAAATTCGTTCTTTCCTGCATAAAAAGACCGTACCGTTTCTTGAAAGGCCGGAACACACTTGCAAGGCTTCTAGTGGTGTGTGTCTATGAGATGTTCTAAAAAAATACTCTTCACTCGTCTAGATAAAGTGTACTATTGACTACCTATTTGAGAGTCTAGTACCCATAATAGGACAAGCCTTAAAAAAACCAGTGGCGCCACATCCTTTTTTGGTCTGGGCCTCAGATTTCTGTATCTGTTTCATGATTATTTGTCAATCCAAAAGGTAAATAAGTGATCAGCCTGTGCCTCAAACACGCCGTTGAATTTTTGGGTCTAAGGCAAGCCTAGATGAGTTTAAAGATTACACTAGTTATTATTATTATTATATTAGTTTTAAGTTTTTAGATTAGTTTAGTTTCTATCCTCACGATGAGTTTCGTCACCGTTCGAGTGAATGTTAAATGCGCACATAGACAGAAAGTTCATTGGTGCACAGCCGGGGATCGAACCTACGATCTCAGGGAAGATATTCGCGCGCTATAGCCACTAGGCCACTGCTCCCTATGCATGCCTTTCTTTATTGAGCTAAGTGAGCATTGCTAGCCTAATTAGAGGGTCATGGGGATCATGACTTAGGGATTGAAGAGACTGATATTGTTACAATTGCCTTTGTAACAATAATTTTATATAATTTTGTGCCACAACACAGGGGGGGGCTAGTGTGGGGGCCAATGCACTTTACTTAATCTAAACATCCTGTATATTGTGTATAATAAAGTTTTTTCTATTTTTCTTTTTGTTAAAGGCACATTAGTGGCGCTACAAAGTGTAAAGTGTAAAAGTGTATCATAAGATTTTATAAGTGTATAAGTAGTTCTACCCTAAGTGTTCCTCAACTAATTTTTAGTTAGTTTAACTCTTTCTTTGATATATATAGAGTTGGATTAAAATCATTTTATTGTTACCAATTCAGTTAATTATTAAGTATTTTATTATATGTAAAGATTTGTTTGATGGCGTAAAAAGAACTTTATATTTAGTAAGTAGGTAAGTTTAAAGCTGTAAATATTTCTCAATAAATTAATTTAAAAAAAAATGGTGATTCTTGACTATCGACTTTTTTGGTCTAATGTTGGCTTCTTCACGATGCTTTTCACACTGTACAGAGAATCGATACGGTTACACTCTATTGAGATTGGTGGCATGCTTATATTATAGCGCACGAATGAACTCTCACTCCATCTTATACTTCGGTGCGACGGACGTCCGGCACAACTGCAGTTGAACAAAACTGGTTTACGTCTTATGAAACATTTTTTTAAACAAATTGCAATAAACATAAATAGAACCTGACCATAACGTTATTAAAGACGAACACTTATTGTCTTTGATGCTTGCTCTGTATGTATCTTAATGCGTTAAAGGCTTTAGATTTTAAAATAACAATTAAAATATTGGGCCCTCACAAACGCTATACTAAAATGCATCCATTATTCAAACAAAGCTTTGCGATACTTTTCATAAACAAAGTAGGAAGTTGAACAAAATTTAATTTCCTGGTATCGAGAATAATAGTTAAGAATACAAAGTGGGTATAATGGAAGTTTGTGTAAGAAGAGAGATGAACGAAGTATTAATATTTAAATGAGAACAGCAGTTTTGCTTAAAATTTTATATTGAAAATAGATTTGTGACTGTCGAAAAAAAACCTATGAAATTAAGGGTATTAATCCTTTTTAGTTATTGATGATTGGTTAAACTTAAATTGAGAATACCTGACACAATTTAAAAAATATATGACATCCTGTGTTTGCGGGCATCGAGATATTTCATATTTTACAAATTACAGTTTAAAATTTACGTGATTATTTCAAATATTAATTAGAAAATTCAATTGAGTTGAATACTAAGAGATAAAGTAACAAATTAGAATTTGATAAATAAATTAAAGCTATTAAATAAAAATTACATTGTTACACACAACATTCCTGTGTTATTGTGACTTGGCTTTTCTGAGGTACAAAGAGTTAAAAATCCAATAAAAGAAACTAAATTCAAACTTTAACAAATATATCAAATAACTAATAATTCTTAACATCCATCTTATATTATTTCCATACCAGACTACGAAAACAAATGAATAAGCACAATGAAACTTTTGACAGTAGAAGTGACAAGTTGCCATGCCTGAAATATTTCTGACAGCAGCTAACATACCATATGTAACATAATCTGTGCTTCAACTTCTTGGTCAAAAATTCTCTGAAAGTTTCCAACATGACGAAGTTGAGACGATGCATGAATAACTTAGAAACATTTCTACGTGATAACTAGTTGAATATCCTTTAAATTCTGCATTTTCATACGAATTTTACACTTGTGTTTTATTTTAAAATCATATTTGCAGATTATTCACAAAACGGACGATAAACCTTGAGGTGACCAATGGTGGGAAGCCATTGGTCACCTCAAGGTTTATCGACTACAAATGGGCTTTTCCTCTTCAATGTTTTGAAATCCGGTAGGCTTACGCTTAGTTTGATATATTAAATATAAATTATTATTAATAATAATAAATCGTTTTTTTGCAAAGTGAGTGGTACATTCAAATTTATTAATTATAATAACAACCGCACAATCAGCCATTTAAAAATAGGCATCTAAATGTCATATTTATTATCATCTCCTTGTCAAAACTTAATCAACGTATCTTTGAAAGCATCACATGGCATTTTTACACGCTTTACTCGTATATTAGCTTCACCTGTATGTATGTATGTAACCGACCCCTTTGAGCTCGATTTTGTCCTACTTTGAACGATCAAACTTTGCGCACCTGTCAAAGATCGATGGCAATGCAATAATCCGAAAAAATAAAAATAAAAAAAAATTAACTAAAAAATAAATAATAGTTAAAAAAAACTAGAACACACGGTGTCAATAGTTATGAATATTTAATTGACAGATATGAG